GGGTGTGCGGGTACACTCCTCACCTCTCCGTGTCCAGGCTGCACGGGGTGTGCGGGAGCACTCCTTATGCTTATGGAATTCTTGTTGCAAACATAAGTTCTGGATGCTGCAGCATACACACATTCCTCTTTTGGGCTTTTTGGCATTAGGCAATACCTTATATGTGTAATTTACTTCTTTTCAGGACCTGAAGGTGGTGAACAGCTACCTAAAGTCCTGTTTCCTCATCTTCCCCAACTACAACCTGGGTCATGGACTGATGGAGATGGCCTACAATGAATACATCAATGAGTACTACGCCAAGATAGGTAATGTGGGCCTCAGGCGCAGGTGCAGGGAAACCTGTTGCTGTGTTGCCCCCTCCGCTAAACCTCAGGGCTTCTGCTTTAGGTCAGTTTGATAAGATGAAGTCACCATTCGAGTGGGACATCGTGGCCAGGGGGCTGGTGGCCATGACCATCGAAGGCTTTGTGGGGTTCTTCATCACCATCATGTGCCAATACAACTTCTTCAGGAAACCCCAGTGAGTCTGTCTGTCTTTCTGTCTGTAATCTGGACGTCTTTATGACTGTGACTGTCTGTCTGTCATCTGTATGTCAGTCAGTCAGTCATCCGGACATCATATCACTGCCTCTGTCTGTCTTTCTGTATGTCTGTCTGTCATCGGGACATCTGAATGACTGTATCTGTCTATCTGTCTGTCTTATGGATGCCTGTATGACTGTCTGTCTGTCTGTCTGTATGACTGTGTCTGTCTATCAGTGTGTCTCTTCTCTCTGAGGTCAGAGTGTTTGATTATTAATAATCTGGGGCCTCTTTGAAACAAAACAAGATGTCAGACAAATTTTTACTTTTCAGAGTATTTTGTTCATGATCAAAGAGTTACGAATAATTTCCCAGGAGGAGTGTAAGAACATAAACTCAGCAGGAGAAAAAAGGGGGAAAATGCTGGAATTAAACCTCCACAGAAGAATGAGTCAGCATCAGGGAGCAGATCATTACATAATGATCATTTCCTAAGGAAAATTAATGAGGAGCCATGGCTTCAAAGACAACAAATAGAGGATCCATGGACTCATAAAAACCCAGTGTGTTCAAAGCAGTGGTGTTAAATCATCCCAGGAGGATCCCTGTGAACAGCCAACCAGCGGAGGATGACGATGTCGATGTGGCGTGCGAGAGGCGGAGGGTGCTGAGAGGGGATGCTGATAACGACATGCTGAAGATAGAGAACCTCACTAAGGTGGGTGCCTGAGAGAGTGAGAGACAGACTCGTCAAGGTCTGCACTTGACTTTACCAGGGTTTTAGAAAGCGAACCTGTCCAAGATCTGCGCTGGAGTTAGCAGGTGGTTCCCGAGTGATACAGGCAGCTTCAGCAAGGTTTGTTTTGCAGTTAACTGGGGTTTTCAGGGAGTAGTACCTTCAAGCTTGAATATGACAAGAACTTTTGAGATGTTTTTGTAGGTTTGTTCTGTGATTTCAACACTGTGTTTGCTGCTAGGTGTACAAGTCCAGGAGGATGGGCCGTATTCTGGCGGTGGACCAACTCTGCCTGGGGGTCCGTCCAGGAGAGTGCTTTGGCCTGCTAGGGGTGAATGGTGCCGGGAAGACCACCACCTTCAAGATGCTGACAGGAGATGAGAGCACCACGGGAGGAGAGGCCTTCATCGGAGGTCACAGGTGGGAGGGCTGTGGGTCCGTGTTGTCTCTCTACCATCATCACATCACCTCCGATGTGGCTCTCGTAGACCAGGGCGTCATAACCAAAGAGCTCAGACAAAAATGCCTTTCAGCTTGTTTGGTGACAGGTCAAATTTTATATTCCTCAGAAACTGCAGGTTGGTGGACAAGCTGAATTACTTGAATGATTGGTTAGCCGTTTCGGTGACACGACCCATACACTTTAATATATCACTTAGCCTGACTCCGGGGGCTGTGAATCCCGCTGGCTGTGTGTGTCGGCACGCGCTGGATGTTGGGAAGAGTCTCTGCGCGAGAACTAAGCTTTGCACACAAGATGACTGAAACCTCGTCTGTGTGATGAAGGTGGCGTCCATCGGCTGATGCTGGTTTCAAACACAACCATCTTTGCTGGCATGCGCCCAAAGCATTACAAGGATGTATAAAAGCTTTCAAAATAACTATTAAATCAGGCCTATATTTTGGCTACAAGCCCCTGTTATCGGTGTCCGTTCTCTATCAGCATATGCATATTGGGTCTGCAGTGTGTCTTTCTTACAGAGGGCTGGTCAGTTGCTGTCTTGTCTGCCGGGAAAAGTGCATGTTTATATATCTGTATAATTTTTAATAATCTTTTTTCACAGCAGCCACAAAAAAATTCTGGGGGCCACACACACTTCTCACTTTGTTCTTCTTTTGGTCCATCTCCCTTTCTGTCTGTCTGTCTCTGTCCAGCATCTTGCGGGATCTGCTGAAGGTCCAGCAGAGCATTGGTTACTGTCCCCAGTTTGATGCTCTCTTCGAGGACCTCACCGCCAGAGAGCACCTCGAGCTCTACACTCGCCTCAGGGGCATTCCCTGGAAGGATGAGGAGAGGGTGAGCAGGACCACTGCACAGCCTGTAACTGCACATTTGTGCGGGACCCCCTGTTGGCCACAAACAGTCACTACACTATGTATTAAATAAATGCATTCTTTGTTTCGGAGATTCTGAAGCAGCATGTTCTGCTAACCAGCTAGTTAGCTACGATCATCTCCTGCTAATCGCTAGCTATTTATTTAGTTTGTGAAAAATCTGAGGGGAACGCGGGGGTTATAAAGTGACTCCTTGTGCAAAGCGCCAAAAACAGCAATGCTGCCCATGCCTGTACCCCGCATGGGGGCAATAAAATAAGAGACGGCAGGGTGTGACAGCAGAGAATTCAAATGTACATGTTCTTTTTATCATGGTGAACTTTCCAGTATGAAAAAAAATCTATTCTGGTCTTTTAGCTTAAAGGTTTAAAGGTTAACTGCTTCTTGTTATGCAACACAGCATATATATGATTTTCTGTAAAGTATCATGTTTCTGTGATGCTCCCTCATGTCAGGTGGTCCAGTGGGCCTTAGAGAAGCTGGACCTGTCCAAGTATGCAGACAAGCCAGCAGGCACCTACAGTGCAGGCAACAAGCGCAAGCTGTCCACTGCCATCGCCCTCATCGGCTTCCCCTCCCTCATATTCCTGGTAAGGGCAGCCGCTCACAGGCGGAACACTGCATGTGAAGCCATGGCAATGCCTCACACAAGCTCAGCTACATGTGACAGCAGGGCAGTGTAGCCAGAGCATGAGTTACCTTTAAATGCCGCACACTGGTGTTATAAGCTCAAATTCCCTCAGATCATGTTCAAAGGATTCAAGGATTCAAAAGCTTTATTGTCATTTGTAGAAGTAGAAATACAATGACATACTTGCTCGCTTAACTCACTGCAGTCTTAAGCAACATATTATGAAGAACAATACATAGCAAACTTCAGAATAGTGAACAATAACAGACAATATACATACAATGTATACAATGTACAAGCAGTGCATAATATGCATACAATATACAATAACTTACAAGTATGACAGGGTGGCGAGGCTTTAAGTGGAAGTGATTAATAATTAATGATAATGAATAATAATAGTAATATGTAAAACTAATGTTGAGAGTGTACCGTGAATAAGGCTTAAAAACCTTAAACATTGTACTTTGCACTAAATATCTGTCTGCAGCTTTCTCGGGTCCCCTCAGTGCAGTGTCGCCCACTGCCTGATGGGCAGGAGCCCCTCTCCCCAGCTGCGTCTCCCCGGACGTGTCCGTCGGCCTTTGCCGCTGCCTTTCTGCCTTAGTTCCTCATGGCTGTGGCCCAGGTCGCTGAACTGGAATTGCTTCATGGTTGCTGTTCGCCTGAACCTTCATTCCCCGCCCTGTTGCCCAGGACGAGCCCACCACAGGCATGGACCCCAAGGCACGCCGCTTCTTGTGGAACCTCATCCTGGACATCATCAAGACAGGCCGCTCAGTGGTGCTGACCTCTCACAGGTGAGGCGCCCCCCCCCCCCCAGGTGAGTGTCCGAGCCCATGTGCTGTCGGGGTGGGGGGTCCTGACGGTGCACCCTTTCCTCCCCAGCATGGAGGAGTGCGAGGCTCTGTGCACCAGGCTGGGCATCATGGTCAACGGCAGGTTCAAGTGCTTGGGCAGCATCCAGCATCTTAAAAACAGGTCAGATGTGCGTCGCAGCTGGTGCACCGGCCCTCAGCATCACACCTGAAAGCACTCTCTCTCACATCCATCCTTCTCCCTTGTCCTTCCTACTCCTCCTCCCTTTACTCTTTTACATCCATTTCTGCTGAAGGTTTGGGGACGGCTACATGATAACAGTGCGCACGCGGTCCACCGTCAGCGTCAAGGAAGTGGTGAGGTTCTTCAACAGGAACTTTCCAGAAGCTATATTAAAGGTACCCTCACTTCTCCTCAGGGTCTTTACAAAGATAGCAGATACTTCACCCTCCAAAAATTAGAGACAAGCTGTTCTCATTTTCTGTATTTCTATGAATACTGGGTATTAAATAAGCCTTAAAGGTCAGATGAACGCTTGTCTTTCTCATGCTCTGTCTTTTCTCCCCCCTCCCAGGAGCGACACCACACAAAAGTGCAGTACCAGCTGAAGTCCGACAACATCTCCCTAGCCCAGGTGTTCAGTAAGATGGAGCAGGTGGTGGAAGTGCTTGGTATGGAGGACTACTCCGTTAGCCAGACCACTCTGGACAATGTGAGTGTTCACTGCTTTTAGCATCAGAGCTAAAGGAGGTGTCAAAATGGAGCAGACACGTCCTCCTTGGGCCAAGGGGGTGACTGTTTTTTAACTCCATGGTACTTTTGTAGTTAGTTTTAAGTCCATGGCACTGCCATACCGCAGTCTTTCTGACAGTCTAGATATATTTGCTAAGAGGGAAGGAGTTTTATTATCAGTTATTTTTAGTATGTGTATTAAGAAAGAAATAGTACTTTGCTGCATTTCTGAGGCCATGTATGGCTGTACGTAATGCCGGCAGTTAACAATCCAATGAAGATAATGCTTTTAGACCCGACCAGAACCGAGTTTGTCATTGCTGCCCGTAGGTGTTCGTGAACTTTGCCAAGAAACAGAGTGACAACCTGGAGCAGCAAGAGAGCACGCCCTCTGGTGGCGGCAGCCAGTCGCCTCTGCAGCGCATACTCAGTCTGATCCGACCCCGGCCCGCCAACACGGAGCTGAACGCGCTGGTCAGCGAGGAGCCCGAAGAGCTGGAGAGCGATGATGACGAGGGTCTGATCAGCTTTGAGGAAGAGAGGGTGAGGGGGAAGGAACAGGGGGGCAAAAAGCAGGAGCCGACTTACAGAATAACACCAGGTTTAGCCTGAGTGACTTGCACTTCAAACAGAGGTTAGTTTTGTAACTTGTTTTCTTCTTTATTTTTCAGGTACAGCTTTCATTTAACACAGATACGCTCTGTTGAACTTCAGAGACTGGCCGACCGGACAGAAGTGGAGTCCGACACCTTTAAAAAACGCTTTTGACTCCCGATCGTAATGAGAATGCGGAAGAGCAAACCTAAATTAAAGCAAGCCCAGAACGACAGCTCTTTTCTTTAATTTGCCTGGAGAGCAGCCAGGCTGGGGGCGTGCCGTCTCCTCCACGTGCGGAGAAACGAGGAGACGCGGCGGGAACCGGGAAGTGAGAGCCCCGGAGAGAAGGGAAGGAGACATGGATGCTGGGTGTGCCGTCTGCCTGCCACCCCCTCCTGCCCCCTCGCCCTCGGCCGGGACCGCGGCGGCTGCAGCTTCGGGGGGCCGGAGAACCGCGGCTGATTTGCAGCTCACCTACAGCTTTTAGCGAGAATGTCAGTTTGTGCTTTAACAGGAATGTTTCCCTGCGACGTGTCTCGGTATCAGCTTGTGAGACAAGCACTTGTAGTCGAAGCTGGAGTGAACCAAAAAAACAGCGTTAAGGGACTGTGTTCAGGGCCCAGTTATTGCTCGCGTCGCGTTCTGGCTGCGCGGTTGCAAATGCAGCCCAGTAACATATCAATCTCCTTACGGGTCCAGCCCGCTCGCCCCAGCATATCCTCTTATGAATGTAATTTTAGGGCTAGTCTTATTTCTCTTCCCAGCCAAAGTCAACACCAGTATATAGACATATTCTTTCTCCCCCTTGTACACGGACCCCTCCTGCATTTTAAGGTTTAACATCCTTTTGACTGTGTTTGCCTTTTCAGCATGCTGTAGGGTTTATGAGACTCAGAGAGTCATGTCAAATGGTGTATTGTCATGTGTACTTCTTCTATGGAGAGAAAACAGTGATTTGTTTTACATGATGAGATGTCAGATTTCTGTGGTTTTTAATTTAATAACCGATTGACGATAATTAGCAATGTGCGTCTTGTACTGAGACTCTTCTGGACGCATGTTGCGCCTGATCACAGGGGTGACTTCCGGCTCCTGCCTTTCTCTTTATTTTGCTCGTGTGTAGTGTGCAGGAAATCAGCTGTACGGTTCCCCCTGTAGGAAGCTCATGTGAGATGTGTCACTGCAGGGGGGTCATGGTGCGCAGCCGGCAGAGCGCCCCCGGCTGGTGAGTTTGGCAGGACAGCAGAGTAGGAGGCAGGAGGATTTTCATCCTTGTGCTAACGCCACAAAGAGAGATTTCTTACTTGCTAATACTACCTTCAAAACTATCTTCACAATACAGCAGAAACATATTTGGTAGTTTCACAATTAAACTCACTGACCAATACAAATGTCCTGAGTATGGCAGTCCCTTATACATGTGAAATGATCAGTCTGGAAGTAGGATGGACCATCTCACAGCCAGTGAGACGCGATGGGCTCCCGCTAAGCTTCACCTTAGGGATGCAACTTGATTTGGGGTCATTTCCGAACACTTTAGGACCAATTAAAGGTCATTTTGTTTATATCATTTGTAAAATAATTACAATATGATATAGTATTTTTTTTCTTCAAGAGAACAAAATAGAATAGAGGGCATGGAAAGGAAAAAAATTAGGCATTTTTTTTGTTTTTAATATACGACCCAATGTTAATAACCAAAGGCAAAGTCAGTGATGACTGATAATCCTACACTGAGGGATGATTGAGACACTAACTTTTTTTCCTCCTTTAATAAGATCAGATGTGTCTGTGAAAGCAGAGATTTTCCTTTTGTAATTTTGTGCAGTTGTTTAGTTGTTGTCTTTCTTGGCCTGAACTTAATACCTCTTTCTGTGTCCTATTACTGCGGTTTAATTCATGATGATTTTGCTCACTTTCCATCTGGCCTCAGTGGACCAGCACCTCTTCGTCGGCGATTGACCTTTAACCTTTTGAACGTCCGGTCACCCCGTCCTTTGATCCCCTCACACCCTACCTTGGAGTGCTAATTCCAAAGGCCTTTGCTCTCAAACGCTGTAGGGCGCTTTGATCAAGTTACACAAACTTTAAAAGAAAAAGAACTTTCATAAATATTTGCTTCACAGCAGACTGTTTTGTCATGATCCGTGCATCAGATAAATGTTTTTAAAGAACAGAGACTTCAAATGAAGGCAGCAGGTTGCTTGGGTGCGATCATGTGTGATTAGGGGGAGTGTAACTCGCATATCAGCCAAACGCTCCAGTTAATTTTGTGAATATGTAGTTTTCCTCTGGAGCGGAAGGCTCTAGAATGTATCCTATGTATGTACATGAATATAAATATATATATATTTATATTTATATTTTACAAACATGTATGTCTGTTTAGATCTTTTTTGCTGTAAACGACTGTTGTTTGGATGTAACATTTTGACTTGAATTTGCCAGCTTGTTTCTGATTAAATCATTTGTGGTTGCCATGCTCCTGTGTTTCCGTTGAAGTTACCTTATCATTATATTTTATTCCACACCTTGCGCGTTTCTGCGTGGCTGAACGGCTCCCTCCCACTCAGACAGTATCACATGCCGGCGCGTTGACGTTGTGGAGCGGCCTCTGCTTGCCGGGGCCCGCTGATGCCATTGTTACACTCGATGGCGGTGCGACCAGGTGCCTCCCCGCTACTTTCACACCCTCTGTTTTTGAAGCACTTCTTCACCAGGCCAAGAAATCCGGTCGTACTCGTTTCCTGAACAGCGGCACCACGCACCAAGTTTTGGAGGCGAATGAGGAAGGAGGGCAGAGGCACAGAAACACTTCTGCTTTCAGTCTGCTGGGACGCGCAAAATGCTGCGTCGCTGCCTTGTCGCAGGGCGCAGTGCAGCGCATTTGCCACCAGGGGTGCACAGGCCATGGCGGTCATGGCAGCCGGGCATGGTTGTTCCTCCTGTATGGAAGAACATTCTGAAAGTCACAGAGAGGGGAATGGAAATTTGGAGAAGCTTCCAAAAAACATGACCTACATAACTGCCCAGCTGTGTGACAGACTACTGTTGCCCTGCTGGCTCTACCTTTCAATGTTTACAGGCTTAAATTGCCTCCGCATTACAGTGGCGGGGTAATATACTCTTTGGGATGCCGTACAAAAAGGACCACACCCTGCCTAAAACCCCCTCACATGCAAACACACACACACACCGATGACTTTGACTCTTGTGTTTTAATGAAAAATGAGGAAAAGACCCAGAGCACAATGTGAAGGCTGTTATACACACACACACACACATACACTGAGAGAATGAAAGAAACCTAATCAAGAGCGACACACTTGTAAACACAGCCTCACCCGGACATACAGGTATAACCGGTGAGATGTACGGGTGGGTGTGTGTGAGGAATGTGATGGGAGTGGTGAAAGGGACAGACTGAGACACTGAAAATAAGAGAAGTGCCATAACATAGCAGCCGGAGAGCCTGGGAGGGAGAGTGACGGAGAAATGGCTGAAGCCCCAAAGATCGAGCTCTTCATCAAGGTAAGGGGCTCTGCACTCTCACACACACTCTCACGGAGCCATTCTGTCTCTTGGTGTTCCACCACAGTAAGAAGACCGCAACTGGTGTCTTGTTTGATGAGTGAGGATCTCTGAGTCTGGGGAGAATCAGCAGAATAGAAATTCGATTTGTTAAATGCGCCAATCATATCTCATATCAGCCGCATTCTGACTGATGTGCATCAATACAGTTCATAGAATCCAGTATTACCCTGATTATTCTGACATTCTGCAAATAAAGTTAATTCAAGTCATTTGTTGATACAGTAATTTTCATATTCACTGACCTGCCAGTAATAATTACAATATAAACCGTCTACTTACTGAATCTGAGATCTCAGTAATCGCTATCATAGGCTGTCGATGACACGTTTGGAATAAAGTATATGTTGTCTTGCATGGAGACGTCACACTTTTTGCTTAATGGAAAGTGGCTTGAAACTTCTAGATGACTAGATCCTTCTGGCTAGGTGGCTTTGTGCACTCCTCCACGTGCCTTATCTGCATTTCAAGAAACAGGCAAAACAATCCTACATATGTTCATAGCAGGTGTCAGGTCATTCTGCAAGAGTCCTTATTGCACAACCTCTGGGCTCCAGCCTTTGAGGAAAGAGCTTGGATTGCACCCAAGTGGCTCTGGGAACATGAAACCTTTCTGAACATGGCTGTGTGACACCCATGTGTCAACACACCCTGGCCAAATCTCTGGGATCAAGGCAAAAAGCTCATTGAGCTAGAATCTTCCCTCTGTCTTTTGTTCTCAGCCAGATAGTCTTATCCTCCTAACTTATAGGTTACGAAGAAGACAGTGATGAGAATGTAAGAGAAAGTAAGCAAGGGAGAGGGGAAAAACGGCCCACAAAAGCAATTTTTTGATTATTGACCACACCATTTAGAAAAGGGATAATTTCTGGATGTTTAACAAATGCTGTCATTGTAGCCCTCGGTGTAACAGTCTGTTCTGTTTGCAGGCGAGTAACGATGGTGAGAGTGTGGGTAACTGTCCCTTCTGCCAGCGCCTCTTCATGATCCTCTGGCTGAAAGGTGTGAATTTCACCCTCACTACTGTCGACATGAAGAGGTGAGTGCCAGGAGGTCCAGCGGAGGACTACTCCCCTCTGTGCCTGGGGGGGCACCCTCGCTCACACGTGCTGGTGCATTCTGGGGCCACATTCCCCTCATTCCTCCATTCCAGGGCCCCGGAGGTTCTGAAAGACCTGGCCCCCGGCTCACAGCCCCCATTTCTGCTTTACAACAACGATGTACGCACAGACACTAACAAGATCGAGGAGTTCCTGGAGGAGACGCTGGCCCCCCCTCAGTGAGTAACCTCAGTCTAGAGTCAACGATTGCACCTTATGTTCACCATTTTATATCATATTTTGAACCTTCGTAATATGTTTTTTTCAGCTAAGTACAGAATAATCAGCTTTGCACAACCAAGGCACAGGCCAATAAGAAACACCTACTCTTAACTTGTATGGATTCATTTAGGCATCTGACTGGATGATGGTTGTTACGCTACACTGACGATGGGAATCCCTATGAGAGCGCAAGCACACTACACAGTGACCCAATATCTGCTGTGTATGTCAGCGTGTTTTTAACATTGCAGGTACCCTAAGCTCTGCTGTCGCTATAAGGAATCCAACGGTGCTGGAGATGATATCTTCCACAAGTTCTCCGCCTATGTCAAGAATCCCAACCCTGGCCTGAATGACAGTGAGTTTGCGGCCTCTACCCATGCAGCCCATCACTGCACCTCACTGCACCTAAGTCTGTCTGTTTCCCCAGGTTGACTTTAGCAATGGTGTGTTTGATGTTGCAGTGCTGGAAAAGAAGTTTCTGAAGAGCTTAATGAAGCTGGACCAGTACCTGCTAACCCCGCTTCCAAACGAACTGGACAAGAACCCCAACATAACAGAATCTTCCAGGCTCTTCCTGGATGGGAACACACTGACACTGGCAGACTGCAACCTGCTGCCCAAGCTCAACATCGTGAAGGTACCAACGGGCCTCTCAACACGTGTGCACACACACACACACACACACACACACACACCTTAAAACGGACATTGCTGCCTTGGAAAGGGTGCAATGTAGGGCTACAAGAATGATTCCTGGTCTTAGAGGAATGTCTTATGAGGAGAGGTTAGCTGAGCTGAATCTGTTCAGCTTCGAGCAAAGGAGACTAAGGGGGGACATGATCCAGGTATATAAGATTCTAGCAGGTATAGATGCTGTTCAGCCAAATGGATATTTCAATGTTAGTTTAAATACTAGAACAACCAAAAGTGGAAATTAGCGGGAGAACATTTTAAAATTAATTTGAGAAATCACTTCTTTACACAGCATATACTTCGAGTATGGAATAGTCTTCTTGCTAGTGTAGCGCAAGCTAAAACCCTGGGTTCCTCTAAATCAGAGCTGGATAAGATTTTAACAACTCTGAGCTATTAGTTAAGTTCTCCCCAAACGAGCTTGAGGGGCCGAATGGCCTCCTCTCGTTTATAAATTTCTTATGTTCCTATGCTCAAACACACACACACACACACACACACACACACACACCTGTACTAATATCTTTGTGGGGACTGTCTATTCATTTCTACGGACATAACCCTAATCCCAACAATGACAACCTTAACTATAAGTAACCAAACAAAAAACAAAATTCAAGACATGTGACATTCTTAGTTTTTTTATTGCAGTCACAGATTTTTATAAAACTGAGCTGAAAAAATGGAATCTATACATGGCCCATACTCTATCTCTCTCTCACACGCACACACACAAACACACACAGACAGACACAGACAGACACACAGTTCCCTCTTACTCTCATATGCTCAGTGAGAAATTAAAAAAATTGCCACCCTCCTGTTCCTCGTCTGTAGGTTGTGTGCAGAAAGTACCGGGATTTCGAGATTCCTGCCGCCCTGAAGGGCCTGACACGGTATCTGGAAAATACTTACAAGCGGGACGAGTTCCGCTTCACCTGCCCCAACGACGCCGAGATCCTGCTGGCCTACCACGCAGTGGCCAAGTACCTCACCAGATAGAGAGCAACTGAAGCCAAGTCTATGGAGAGAGAGGGAGAGAGAGGGAGAAGAGGGGAGGAGAGGAGATGAAGGAAGAAACGCTTATGTATCATTTTCCCTCCGGAGTATCTGCCGTCACTGATACAGTCCCAGCCCCCTGTATGACTGCATTTCATTCTGCCACTTCTGGATAAATGTCACTTCTACGCAGCTCTAGCAGCACTGTATAAATAAATGAACATCGCATTCCTCGTAGACCTATCAGCTTAGACCATTTGTTTCTGGAAGGCTTCCATTATGGTGGCGCTGGATTTTCTTAAGGGACAAATATGCTTACAGCTTTTAATTAGTTTTATTTCACCTAAGAAAGATTTTTGTTCATTTTCATATCATGGAGGCACATGAAAGCCGCCCATCTAGCTGTGTTTAGTAATATTGGTTTGTATTAATTCCTCTCTTTTAATAAAGTATTTAAATGATGAATGAAGTGTGTAAATGCTGTCTGCTTCTTCATTATTCAGCAAAGCAGATTTTCAAACAAGCTGAGGAGCTGTTCAGTTGCACTGATTAAGTCTTCACTATTCCTGAATGAGTTTTGTGGTTGTAAATGGGCTTGCAAATGTAAGTTAAATAAGGCATCAACAAAAATTAGTTTATTACAAATACATTTATTTATTTTTTAAAACAATGGGAGTTCATCGACATATCACCACATTAAAAATTATGTGTCAAGTCCACAGCTTAAAAAGGAGGGCATTATTAAAAACAGCATCATGTTCTGAATGGAAATTCATACTTGAGAGGATTAAAAGGATATATAATCACAGATTACGACATTTCATACTGAATACTGAGTGGTTTATGGTACATGCATCAGTGTTGGGGACCAGAAGACTTTAATGTCCATATTCAGAGATCCTCACTCATCAAACAAGACACCAGTTGCGGTCTTCTTACTGTGGTGGAACACCAAGAGACAGAATGGCTCCGTGAGAGTGTGTGTGAGAGAGAAAGAGAGTGTGTGAGACAGAATGGTGCTCTGTGAGTGTACGCATTAGTGTGTGTGACAGAGAGAGAAATAGAGAGACTGAATGGTGCTTCATGAGAGTGGGAGAGAGAGAGAGAGAGAGAGAGAGAGTGTATGTATGCATGTGAGAGTCACAGAGAGCGTGTGTATGTGTGAGTTTGTGGGTTTTTATTTAACACATTTAACACAACCTGGTAGTTTTTAGCTTGGTGGACATTTTTCAGGTCCCTACAATATAAACCTCAGTTTTATAGAAATCTGCGAATGTGATGAAAATAATTAAAATTCTTAAAGTCTTGAGTTTTGTTTGGTTACTTACGGTCAACCTAATCATAGCTGGGAATAGGGTCATGCCCATAGAAATGAATGGAGAGTCCCCACAAAGATATGAATACGGGGACTACACGTGTGTGTGCGTGTGCACGTGTGTGTGTGCGTTCGGCTTTTCGTGAACGTCACCTTTTGCTTCCCGGATTGATGAGGGAGTCTCCAGGAATGCGCTTCCTTACTGCCAGAATAGGCCCAGTTTGGTGCCTCCTAGGCTCAAATTCTGGAATGAGAGCCCAGGTAACAGTTACATCCTCTTTAAATGCCCAAGAAACCCAAGAAGTCCCAAGACTTGATTGTCCAAAATATGACATAAATAGCCATAATGATAATTGTACTAGTATATAAGGGTGACAGTTTCTATACTTGAACCAGTGTTACTGATGGCATTCCTGTGTAACTGCAAAGGAATGCACGAGTAGCACACAGCGTGAACATACCTGCACGCCCTCCCCGCACGTTCTTCATGGGACTGACAGGAGCTGTAAGAGAATGACGTCAGGGAGGCTTGCCGTATGGACCACACATACCTCCACATCCCACGGGGGGGTGGTGCCTCACCCGGGCTGCCCGTGCAGCTCAGGCTCTCAGCCATCCTGAAGAGCAGCTCCCGCAGCTCCCCATGGGACTGCGGGCTGCCCAGCCGGGACAGGGACACGCTAAGGCCATCCCCCAAGTGCAGGAGGGCCGAGTCCCCCTCCAGGCTCACCGACGCCATGCCTGTCTGACAGGCATCCCTGAACACACAGAGGAGAAAAAGCAAAGCCATGCAAAAGACTCCCACAGACGGGCCATTTAACCGAGATCTACAAACTACCACAGTCACACCTCTGGACTAAATTGCTACTCAGTGACAAAGTATGCCAGCTCACTCATTCTTCAATCCACAAAATATCAGTCACACCTCTGGCCTACATTGTTGCTCAATGACAAAATGTGCCATAACTTACCCTGCAGTTTATTTATAAATGTAATGCATACTATAATACTGATTACCATCTCAAACTAGACCAACAAACCCAAAAAGGATTAAAGTCTCATTGCATCCCACAGAGCCATACCTAATTTTTGGGACGTAACTTTCAGGTGACTTCAAGGCAAATCTCTTCATCTGAAATTTAAGACACGACAGGGTGTCAGCCAATTCCTACAGGCAGTGCGCGTCAGAGCCCAAACGGAGCTCCCAAGCTCTGCTGCTGGGAGCACCTAATGGTTTGACTGGCACTGTCTATGGGGAATATCTTCACCCCAATAAATATAGCCATCAAACGTGGGCATTCAGCCTGTGATGCTGTGTGTCGGGCTGAACGGCTTACATGCTGGGTCAAGGTGTCCTCTGTGAAATCCGTGCTCCAAACATCTGAAGCGTTGGTCATTCTGCCAGGGCGAAAGCATCCAAATATTATCCTTAACCATTTTTGCACCCCATCTTCTAAGGTGGGTGGGGTTAGAAACAGGGACAGCAGAAACACAGAATGGCAGAAGCACAGAATGGCAGCAGCACAAAGGAAGTTCGGAAGTGTTAAGCTGTGCATCTCAAGGGCATGAGCCAGTGGCTGGGGGACTCCTCAACTGCACCTGCTTTCTGGTGAAAGGAGGACATTTACGACACCACCCTGCCCTCCTCCCCGGCTTCCACCGAGTCCAGCCTTAGTCCCGTGGCAGGGTTAGCCGTCCTTCAACGTTTGCTCAGCTTTCACCTCAATATCTCTCCTTTAGCAAATAACACCAATTAATACACTACTTACGGCAGACCGGCAAAACGTGCAGCAGTTTATCGCCCCCCTCAACAAAATGCCTACGCACCTCTTTGTAAAAAAATAGCATCAAACATAAATGCAATCTCTCTCTCTCTGCACAATTTTAATGATTCAGTTAATAAACGTGAAAGATCGAGTTTGTACTTTGGTGATTAAATAGGTAATGCTACACGTCTCATAGCCATGATTCACAGTTCCCAGCCATCCAACCGCTTGGGGAGGTGCGGCGTGGTGTTCCCGGTAGATCTGCTTCGCACATGTTTATGGCAGCCATTAAATCTTGCTTACTAGCATCCCTCTAGGCCAGGGTTCTTCAAATCTGGACCTCAATTCCAAATCCTGGCCTTGTTTTCAGTTCTCCCAGGTAGTTAGTTTAATAATTACTGATTCTGAGGCTACACACCTGACTGACAAGTAAAGGAAGGCTGGAAAACCAGCAGTGCTCGGACCTCGAGGACCGTGATTTGAATAACCCTGCTCTAAGGCTGTAGTGCAAACATGTGACTCGGCTCTGATACTAAATACGGCTGACTGAGTTTAGCCACCGATCATCTGACGAAGTAAAACTTGAGCTACTTACTGTACTTACCCAATGTTAAACGCCCCGGCTTTCTCGTGGAAATAGCACAAATACTTAGCGTCGTCGCATTTATTGACAACCGTGCAGAATGTCGATCTCATTTGATGATCCATTGTTAGATGAAGAAATGCGATCGTTATCTCATTGACGTTTGCACTGGATGTATTTAAGTTATAAAGTAGCTCATACAGAATAGTGAAAAGACGGAGTACGCTAATAAACACCGAGCAAACTCAATGTGCAAATTCAGTTTTATGTTTTTTTCTGCTAATTTAGCGAAACTCAAGTAGAGAGGTGAAGATAATACGCGCTGCGATGCAATCTTAACCGGAATAAAAGCGATCACCCTGGCGACAAAAGATAACAGAAAAAAAACGAGCCCTTTTCTGGCTTTGTTGTTGTGTGACGTCACCGACGTTTAACCCGGAAGTGAGTGGGTGGTGCGCGCTTCTCCGCGCGTCCCCGTCGCCAGCAGCCACGAGGTGTAAGTATGTCCAATAACTTTTTTATACATACGGAAAACAAGTTTCGATGCTGGTAAATGTGTAGTGTTGTAATGCTTAGCAGAGCGCGGCGGTTTTAGTCGCCCTTCATCCGCTCAGATTATAGTCGTCGCTGATTTCAGCTTGACTGCACATAGGTCGCCAGCGGCTGCGCATCTGCCTAAAAGCTGTAAACGTCATATACTTTATGTTAATATAAATACAAACAAAATAGTCATACAGATAACAGCCTGATAACGTAGAAAGTGCAGCAGTGCCAGGATAACCCCGATAATGCAGGCGACGCCAGCTTAATGGTATGAACTGACTGTATTGCGGCGCTTTTCCTGAGCAGAGTTGGACTTGCGGGGTGCAGGATGCCATGGCCTGCAGATCGCGCACCCGGAGCCTGCAGCTGCTGGACACGGAGCTGAGTGCAGACGCGGTGGAGTGGTGCCCCGTGCCCCCTTGGCACGATGTTCTGGCGTGCGGAACGTACCAGCTGCTGAAGCCGCCGGAAGGGGTCAGGGCAGCGTCAGGCGCACCTCGTTTTACTTACAAGAGGGGCTGGATATAATTTGTGCTGTTTTGTTTTTTAAGGTGGATGTTGAGTCCGCCGTTCCCAGCCGCATTGGACGACTGTACCTGTTCCAGTTTCATGAGGATGGTCTGCATTGTCCGCCGCTCACTGAGATTCAGCGCATTGATACATCTGCCATACTTGATATTAAGTGGTAAGGCCATTAATTGTATTATAAAATGTTAATAATAGACTGAAGTGTGTTTTGTTTTTTAAGAGTAGTACACAATGTTATGATCTGTTTGGTCCTAGTTGTACATTTCTATCCTCAGGTGCCATGTGCCTGTGTTGGAGCGCCCCCTACTGGGCATGGCCACTGCTAGTGGGGAATTACAACTATGGAAACTGACTGACACTCAGGTGAGGGGCTGATCCACCCCTAGGGCGTACAGGGCCTGTAACACACTGACTGGGCAATGAGGTTGTAGAAAACTCATGGGGAGAAAAGACTACGCCTGTCACCTTGTCATGGGCATCTCTCTCCAGTAGGATGGCCCCAGTGGGCTGGAGATGACATCGTGTATGGAGCTGGGCCCTGATAGGCTGGCTCTGTCTTTGGACTGGTCCACTGGTAGGGGGGACAGGTGAGCAAAAGCAGGATTATTCTGGTTGTCAGCAAGACGTGTCAATTCAGGGACACAACTAGTGGAAAAGTGGATCAGGGAAGCATTACGTTGCCCTGCAATGCATTTGCAATGCATTAAGATCCCCAAACTGTAGGCCTTCACAGAGAGATCTGTCACTTTCTTAATGAGGCTTGCCGCTGTGCTGCCGCCTTCTTGCAGCAGTGACGTGCGAGTGGTGTCCAGTGACTCCACAGGGGGCATCAGCGTGCTGGCGCTGGGGGAGGGCAGCCTTGCCAAGCTCTCTCAGTGGAAGGCTCACGACTTTGAGGCCTGGATCTCTGCCTTCAGCTACTGGGACACTCAGCTGCTCTACTCAGGTATGGGGGGGAGGTGCTCCATTCTGTGTCTCTTACTGCCCCCTGCTGTTGAATATATGTATCTTTAAAAGAGAAATGCATGAGTGTGCGCATCGTCAATTTGGGTCATTACTCTTTCTATGATCGCAGTTATTCAAGTGATTCTACTCTCATTTCATACACATTATGAAATTGTGGTTCTGCGGAGCATCAAACAGCTAGGACAGGAGCAGATGAGCAGTAAATACGGGCGGGGGGGGGGGGGGGGCGGTTAATAAAATAAAAAAACAATACGCTGCAACACAACATAACAATGACAGTTCAAGTAATAAAAGCAAACCTTCTGAGGGACAAAACTGTGGCAGAACCTGGTGGTGGACAGAATGCTCCAGAACCTTTTCCAGATGGAAGGGGGATCAACAGGCTGTTTGATGGGTGCTGCTGTGCTGCTTTTTAGCTGCCAGATGTTACTGGTGCTGTTTGTTCACTCTGGCACTGGTCCCTGTCCCAGGTGGGGATGACTGCAAGCTGAAGGGCTGGGACCTCCGCATAGGGCCATCCTGCCCCACCTTCACCAGTCAGGGGTGAGCAGGTCACTCCCTGTCCCAGACACGGGCAGCAGCATGGGTACCTCTGTGATTAACCAGAGGGCTGTGCTGCTCGTTTACCTTCACGGTGACTGCTTCTGTGTGAGCGCGGTGTGGTTGGCATTTTGTGATGTGATTTAGGGGGGATGACAGCACCAGTGATGTCAGACAAATAGCATGTTTCGACATATTCTATCCCACTTTTTGTGTTTTGCTGTCTGCGTATCTGTGTGTTTGAAACGTCAGCGCCCCACTGTGTTTCTGCCCTGTCATTGGCTGACTGTGTCACATGGTGACTCCTGCATCACATTCTCCATTTTCTCACACAGGCATTCCATGGGGGTCTGCAGCATCCACAGCAACCCACACCGGGAGCACGTCCTGGCCACTGGCATTTTCAGATGCAAAAGTGCCAAAATTAATACATTTCCTATAAAATAAACCGTAGCTGAATGTCACGGTGGCTGTTTAACAGAGCTGGTTTCTGGTTTTCCCTTGGCTTGCACTGGCCCCCTGTTTCAGTGCCATTTTTACTGTTTTAAGCACGTCAAGCCCATTATATGATGTGCTGAGGGGAGTTCAGTTATACGTTATATAATGGATAATAGGTATTATGCAGTCTTTTTTTTTTGTAAACTTGTATGTAATGATTCTTCCCTCAAACGTGGCACTGGGAGGGAGGATGGTTGACCTAACAAAGTGCCCTCCCACCCTCCAGCTATGACGAGCAGATGCTGCTGTGGGACGGGCGCAACATGAAGCGGCCCTTGGCCGAGACGCTGCTGGGTGGTGGCGTGTGGCGGCTTAAATGGCACCCGACTCAGGAGCATCTCCTGCTGGCTGCCTGCATGCATAACGACTTCCACATCCTACACTGCCAGCAGGCTCTGGGTGAGGCTGAATGGCTGTCAGGGGTCATGGGTGTGCCTCCTCTGTTTGGTTTACTTCCGTCATTAATTAGGCTATGTGGTGCAATTCTGGACGTAGAGTGTATTGTCCCCCTTAAATGAAATCCAGTGCTGTTCTTCTCCATGTCTCTAGAGGGCAGTGGTGAGCCATGCTCAGTCCTGGCCTCCTACATCTTGCACAACTCCCTCGCCTACGGAGCAGATTGGTCGCGCCTCCCACTTACAGGAGCCCCTGCCTGTGACTCTCAGGAGACAGTAGAGGCAGAAAGAGCTACGCTGGAAATGGGAGTTCACCTGAGGATCCAGTACGAATCGCCCACAGCCAGCTTCGACACATCGCTGGAGGATGACATGGGCCGGTACATCCCTGAGGGAACGCAGCCCAGTCCTGTGTGTGCTGTGGAGGCCACGCCCCCTGTCCCTGCTGGCCACGCCCCCACTCTGTCCTGCCTGATGGCCACCTGTTCCTTCTATGACCACATGTTACACGTGTGGCGCTGGGACTGGAGCCTCGAAGAGAGTGGAGAGGCTACTAGTGCTGAGGGCCAAGGGGGCGTGGATGGCGGCCATGGAGGAGCTGCAGAGGGAGGAGATTAGCTACGCATGCTAACTGGTGCCACCCGCAGCATTTATACTCAGGTGTGGGGAGGAGATGGCTGTGAGGCCTGGGACAGCAAGCAATTATGACCATGATCATGGGGAGGGCGGCGATTGACAGCATATGGCTGGAGGTTCCAGCATTTCACCTGCCCCCCCTGCGCTGAACAGAACAAGGTCTCAACGTGGAAAATCTAGATGGCAGTTGTATCTGCACCTAGATAACCAGATATAACCAGAACCTTGACTATTTTGTAACTGTTATTTTTGGTTATGAATGGTTTAACCTCCCACCCCCCATGTAGAGTCAGAGGAGATGTCTATAATCATAAGAAAGACTAGTTAGTGTCCTGCTGGTGTTTCATCACAGCAGTATAGCTCTTGTCAACCAAAAACTTAAACCAAATGAACTTTCGTTTAAATCAGTTATATGAAAACTTGATATGACAGGGTTGATTGTTATCTGTATCTTATTTTTAATTACTGTGTGGTGATACTGGCTGTTTTTAAGCTTTGTACTTAAATACATTGTTGCAGGATACTGTGTCACGTTTTACAAAGAAATGCCAATTACTACAGCAGTACATCAATAAAACTAATTTGTACACGGGTGTTTTTCACATTTATGTATTTCTGCTTAATATGAAATATTAGTTTTAATATAGCAAGTTTGCTGGCACCAAAGCATAACATTGGATTGATAGACTACTTTTTTTTGGTTAATTACTTTTAGTTTTGATTTTTTTAAAAATGCATTCGATTGCCATTGGTGAATTAACACTTCACTGTCACTTTACCATAGATTGACTTTTTTTTATTCAGTAATTTCCTTACATACCAGTCTAGAAAAAAATGACTGAAGGGGAAGTTCACACAAAATGGATTTCTTGCGTAGGGGGAAACCCCGTATTCTTCGAGCAGAGGACGGAGCCCCGAAATAAACTTTGCTGGTCCGGTTCGCCAACAGTCCTTACCGTCCTTGTAGGTTTCTATGGCGCCTTGTCAGCCTAGTCGCTAACGCACGAAGTTTTTGGGAAACAGCTTAAACAGCCTGCCCTCCTGCATGGGCTGGAAGCCGTACTTCTCCAAATCGTCTGGGCTAAAGGTACCCTCCTCCATGTCCTTCCGGATCTGCGGGGCCACCGCCTGGTTAAAGAGCTCCTCGGCGGTGAGGGGCGGCTCCGTGCCGTCCGGGGAGCGGTATGACACGTACGCCTGGAGCTTGAAGCCCTGCAGGTTGGGCACCACGAACTCCGGGACCATCTCCTGTATCCGCACGAACTTGCGGCTGGCCGTCACCTTGCCCGTCGGCCTGGCGCCCCGGCCCTTGTAGAAGGTGTTTGGCCCACGCTTGCTAGTGAACTCCGCCATGCGGTCCGCCCCCCGGGCCAGGCCCCTGCACAGCGCCGACAGCACCCCCATGCTACCGTCTGTGAGCTACGCTCCTATTGGGGAACATGGGGCGCACACAGACAGTGTTTAAGTCGGCATGTATAATTTCGGATCGACATCTGTGTTCCTCACATGTGATAAATAGTGTTGCTTCAAAATGTTCAGGTTTTACCGGGATCGCAATTTAAAACAGCAATCCAGACCAAACCTGCAAATCCGATAATCTCTCCATCAGGGTTAAAGTATTTAAAATTACACTGTATGCAAAAACACATTAATGGGAAAGAGGGAATATTATAGTCTTACATAGTTTAACACACAAACCATCAATATCTTTAGCAACAAACAAGAATTATTAGCATCATACCGAGTAGATGTATAGTCAGCAAGAAAACTTATTTATTATATAATATTTGTATACAGAGAGGGCGCGTTTACGTTCTATTATTCGTAGTAACATTTAAAAGATAAAGACACTCACCTTTGCGGCTCCACATAAGCTGCAGCAATGTATCCGTGAACGGTGAAATAAAGATGGTGCTGATTGGGCGAGAGGAGCTGGAGGCAGCCAATTGGTATGCCGCGTACTATCGAGTGGGTTGTACTTCTTGGCAGCCCGCATGACGTCATATGGGGGCGGTGCAGCAGCAGGGCCACTGATTGCATGTTTCGTGCAGCCCAGTGACAGTGACCACAGGGGTGTCAGTAAGTAACTTTTAAATGTCATCTTGTTTTTCAGCAGTGAAATTAATTGGCCTGTCCGGGTCAGCTGAGTATGTTTTCTTTGGTATTGTAGGTTCAGTGTAAAAATTCAGTGCGCACAACTTTAACCGAAGAGTGTATAAAACAGTTAACTCAGTACATTTTAGTATACGTGCTGTTTGCGCTCGTGATTCCTTGTCAAGTTTTTTGTTACCGCTAAAGTTTGTGCGCTATTATTTCTGCGCTTGGTGATTTAACTGCTTTTTTTTTTTTTTTACTTGATTAAAGTTTGTGTGTGTGTGTGTGCGCGCGCATGGGGGCAGCAAGTAGCTTCATCAGATTGCGAAACCTGCCCATATTGGATTTCAGCTTTAGGGCAAGGATGTTTTCGGGGGTGGTGGGGGTTGGTCATGTTATGGTTGATGAATAAACATCAATACTCTGGCAGTGTTCTGGACCCAAGTGTACAAGAGGTCAGACGGAGAGCCACTTCTCTAAAAACTGTGGGCTGCGGCAGGTGTCTGCTTACAGCTCCGCCAGAGGTGACCTCCTGGCTTGGGGTCTCCTTTTCCCCACTGGTGCTGTAGGTCAGCCAGTGGTGCATATCACTCTCCATGTCACTCATTCCTTGTTCTTGGGTGTACCAGCTTTTCCCAGTGTGTCATGTGTTTCTTTTGTGTTTATCCATTTGACAGTAGCTGCTTGATGTATTTAATCAGTCCCTGATAGAGACACAGGGAGCTGGACACACTAAGGCACAGTGTCGATCTGGACTTCACCCCTGAGTGAGCTCAGCATGTCTGCAGGACGAGGCAGAGAGTGTCAATGTCGATAATTATGTGTTTACAAGCCAGGCGTAGCGACAGTGTGACTTCAACAGCAGTAACGCTGTAGTAACCTATTCTCTGTCGTGTGTACATTACTGACCAGATAACTGGAAACACTGCGGCTCAGGACACGTACATAAGTTCACCGAAGGGACTGTGCGTGTGCATTTTTCTTAACATTCCATGTTTCCTTTCTGTTATTCTTCAGTTAAGAAGTTGGTTTGTAATTAATAACTTCTTTAGCCTGGCTATGAGTACAGGTCTGCGTGGCTGCTGCTGCTGCTGCACTTATCCTTATTAATTTGCTGGTGTTATTAATTGCTAAATAATGTATGTATCCTGGGCTGTGTGGCTTCCTTCCATGGGGCTGGCAATCTTGTTTGCGTTGACATTCAGGCTGTGAAAGTTGCACTTGCATTTATCTGTAGTGTTACACGCTTGGTTACACTTATCCGTAGGGTTACACGTTTGGTTACACTTATCCGTAGGGTTACACGCTTGGTTACACTTATCCGTAGTGTTACAGGCTTGGTTACACTTATCCATAGTGTTACACGCTTGGTTACACTTATCCATATGCTTACACGCTTGGTTACACTTATCCGTAGGGTTACACATATTGTTACACTTATCCGTAATGTTACATGTATGGTTGCACTTATACTGTTCATAGTTTTACATGTATGGTTAAACTTATCCATGGTGCTACACGTATGGTTACACTTATCTATGGTGTTTCACATATAGTTACACTTATCCGTAGTGTTACAAACTTGGTTACACTTATCCATAGTGCTATTAAATGGGCAACACAGCTTTTAAATGCTAAGTTCTGGCTAATTCATCCTTTACCTGTCGCAGTCTAGCTCTGGGTCTACGGCGGAATGATGGAGGACCAGGAGGATGAGACCTGCAGCATTTACCCAGTGAGAAATCCTTACCCCGCCCATACAGCCCCCAGGCAGGGACGTATCCCAGCGGGCATCTGCTGGTTTTTCCGTGGTTTTAACTGCGTGAAAGCTGGACTCCTCAGGTGCCTGGTTTTGCTTTGCAGGCCATGCTGCCCATCGGCAGTGAGATCCAGGCTCGGCTTCAGCGGTTTGTGGAGGAGGGACTACACACCTCTGTGGTGAGGAAGAGATCAGTGCGCTGAGTGACTGTTCGCCTGAGGCTGTCGTTGCTGGTCCTGCCAAGCCCCTTCCTTCCAGGCCTTCAGCTGGACACTCGCCTTTATGGTGACCTGGTCACCTTTGCTGCTGTTAGCAGCCGATGCAATGAGCTTTCAAGCATTTCCCCCTGACATCCACTAAGTTCACCTTCCCTTTGTCTGCCCACGTTTTCAGTTTGCCATGACCCAGAGAAGCGTGCCTGTTATGGCAGTGGTAAACCTGTGCCCTTGTTTCATTTCGGTAGCTGACGGGTGTTTTGATTGGCGTGGCGGTGGGCCTATCCGTCATCGGCTTTGTTCTGCTCATCATCTACAGGAGACACAAGCTGGCCAGTGAGCTCTCTCCTCTTCTTCCTCTTCAGTTATATATAGTGATTGTTTGGATGAAGACCAGTTAAACAGAGTAGTCACACAGATATATTGTTTAAACATGATTAGTGTATCTGTACTAATGGGATTAAACACAGATTAATTTGCTGGCAGGCGGGGCAGCCACTTCAGATGGCAGTTAGGAACAAGAATGTAAATGCTAATGAGAGGAGGCCATTTGGCCCATCAAGCTCATTTGGGGAGAACTCAGCTAATAGCTTAAAGTTATTAATATCTTATCTAGCTCTGATTTAAAGGAACCCAATGTCTTAGCTTTCATTAATTAGAACATAACATATTCTGTATAAGTTGAAAGTGCAGCCTTAACCTTGTATACCTCTATGTTTTATGTGTGATTTGTGCTCAGAAGATCAGCAGCCAAACGTTCCCCATTATCGCTTCCGGAAAAGAGACAAGATGCTCTTCTATGGCAGGAAGATAATGAGAAAGGTGACTGGCAAAATCTACATTTTTGTCTGATTGCACTTGCAAGACTGGCTCCCCTAGAGGGCAGCAGAGAGCTGATGGGCCCCATCTGCAATATCCGCTCATGCTGCTGCATGCTCTCTCTCTTTCTCACCCCTGCAGGTACAGACCTTATCTTCTGCCTCTCCTAACTTGAGCTCAGCATCGCGGCAGAGGCTCCGAAAGAGAGCAAAAGTCATGTCTATAGCCCACCAGTGAGTTTCACACTTCACGTACATATACACAGCGAGAGCTGAACGCTGGCACATCCACACGCCGGTGTCTTGGCTGCGGCTATTAGTCTTGCCATTGAATGTGAGGCCCTTCTGCCATAGGATCTTGCGGATACGGAGAGAGCCCCCCAGCCTGGAGCCCAAGGAGCCCCCCTCCTCGCTGTTGGAGGCCGACCTGACAGAGTTTGATGTCCAGAACTCCCGCTTGCCCTTGGAGGTGCTCTACATGCTGAAGAACGTGAGGTGAGCGCCACCTGCTGGAAGACACTATATAGCATCCTGCTCCTGCCAATGTGGTTGACTGCCGAGGCTCTCTCCAATGGTGGCCAGGGTGCTGGGCCACTTCGAGAAGCCAGTCTTCCTGGAGTTGTGCCGCCACATGGTGTTTGTGGAGCTACAGGAGAGCGAGAACCTCTTCCAACCCGGCGAGACGGACGACAGCATCTACGTGGTTCAAGATGGCCGCCTGGAGCTCTGCATCCGTGAGAATGTGAGCGCGGCGTGGTTCTGTGGCACCTTATGCTAACTAGCGATAATGCTGGATTGAGGGAGATGTTTTCTCCTGCTCCTGGCAGGACGGCACAGACGTGGTGGTGAAGGAGGTGCTCCCTGGAGACAGCGTCCATAGCCTGCTCAGCGTTCTGGACGTCATCACCGTGAGTCGGCGGCCTCATCTCTCCTCCACCATGCTCTACGCTCATGGTCATCTGCCACACATCCGGCACGTTGCGTGTCAATGTAGTCCATGACAGGTGGAGCTGTGTTTTCCATGCTGTGATGGCTTCTGTCGTATATTCTGTTCAGTTCAATGTGTTTTTATATAGCGCCTTTCATTACAACCAGCCCAAGGCACTTTACGCAGGTGTGTTGTGGTACAATACAACATTATTAAGATAGAATAGATCAACTGACAGCAAGACAGAATAAACCAATGAACACTCTTCACTGTACTACACCATTAGCATTAGGTAGCGTGTAGTGTACAATAATCACTGATGAACGATGTCTGCTGTCTAGCAAGCGGGAGCTTTGCTCTTCTTCTGTGCTTCTTGTTGGCTGTCATGGCTGCCCTGTCATCCTCTCACCCCAGGGCTACGTTGCCCCGTATAAGACGGTGTCGGCCCGGGCTGCATCACGCTGCACGGTGCTCCGCCTGCCAGTGACCGCCTTCCAGGCTGTCTTTGAGAAGTACCCGGACACCCTTATACGCGTAATTCAGGTGCGCTCGCAGTGCCGCTCGCAGTGCCGCTCGCAGTGCCGCATCTCACTCAGCACGTGTTGGGGCAGTTAGATCGTAATTAGCCAGCCAGTGGCTCCATTCACACCTTCACTTTACCTCCATGTGGATGTTGCACCTAAACTAAACAGGGCCACGGAATTAGTTTATTTTCTCTCAAAAACAGAAGATTTCACACTGTCGCTGTAATATGCTGCATCCTGCCTCTGTTACTTACTGAACATGAGGGCAGCCCGCTCTGCCCCACAGAGCGCCTTACTGCCCCGTCATGCCCCAGCCTTCTGTAAAGAGGAAAAGCCTTCCAGAAGGTTCCTCATGGCTCCAGTTTCCATCGGGGGGGGGGGGGTGAGCTGCACCAGCAGGGGGCGCCATCCCACACTTGGTTTTGACTGTTGCACCAGCAGGGGGCGCCATCCCACTCTTGGTTTTGACTGTTGCACCAGCAGGGGGCGCCATCCCACTCTTGGTTTTGACTGTTGCTTGCTGTTGTTGTCGCTCTGCTGGGTTCAGATCATCATGGTGCGTCTCCAGAGGGTCACCTTCCTGGCTCTGCACAACTACCTGGGCCTGACCAGCGAGCTCTTCAACCCGGTGAGATGGCATAGCTCAGCATTTGGGTCCCGATCACAGGAGAAGGATACAGGCTTATGAGCATAATTTTAGGTGCCGGGGGGCTTGTTCTGAGGCTGGATGCCCACGGTGACCCTCCCCTGCTATTACAGCCATGATCTTCCCATTTTGTAGTCAATTTATGTGGCTAATGCCAATTAGCAATTGTTGGTCTTGTTAAAGTACAGTAGTTTGCTTGTTTATATTTTTTATTTATTTTTAAATTCTTTTAATTGTGTTTTTTTTTGTGTTTTTCTGTTTGTCTCAGCTGCATGTTTAATCGGACGCCACATTCTATCGCCTGCGCCAAATTGAATTCCCCGTACTTTTTGGTGTATTAGTGTATTCTGATTGTGAACAGGGTGTGGGAGGGGCCACGTGTTATGGTGCCTGTGTGGAGGGAGGCTCATGGCTCTCTGCCTCCTCCAGGAGAGCCAGGCCGTCCCACTGGTGTCAGTAGCCACCGTTATGGGGGAGGGCAGCCCTGCCAGGGCCTTCCGGAGACAGCCAGGTGAGTGGGAGCGCTGTGCCGTTTTAGCTGTAAGAAGGTACCCGCTAGAGCGCCTTCACGCTCCGAGTCTCTGTCAGCCCGTTCAGTCTGCTTACCCGTCCGTAGACACACACGCCTGTGCATGTCGCTGCGTAGCCTCACCCTGTGGCTCTGGTGACATGAGCGCGTTCAGTCCCGCCTGTCGTTCTGTGACCTGCAGCAGCTCCTGGCGCTGATGTCAGCATGGTGTGCGAGCGAGCCGATGCCCCTCTCGAGGATGTGCCCTCCAGCCCCATACACAGGGTAACTCTAAAAACTGACCCATAGGCTTGGCCTCCCTTGTGAGGCTTTTCATCATCTTCACAGAAACTTCCTGGTGAACACCCTCCCTCTCTCTCTGTCTCACTGTCTCTCCGTCTCGCTCTCTCCTTCTTCCTCTCCTCTTCCTCTGTCGTCTAAGTCCATCCTGAAAAAGAGCATAAACATGCAGCACACCCCTGCTTCCCTGTTCCACTACGCTGACACCAGGGGGCAGCGTGAGCACATCTTCCATCACAGCAGAATTAACGCCATCTTCCAGGCAGCGAAGAAGGACCTCCTTAACTTCTTACAGCTGAGAGTGAGAGCTTGTCTGTGTATATATACATATACATTGGCGTCAAGCCCTCTGTCTGCTCCTCTGATGTTATACCAGCCCATCTGTTTGTGTCTCTGCCTCAATCAGGATGCCAGTGTCCTGGAGGGCCGTGTGGACCTGCGTCACGTCAAGTCGGGCTCTGTGCTGGCAAAGCAGGGTGACCAGGTCAGAGGGATTTCAGGCTTATTTGATACACACCTGACTAGTACGGCTGCCTGCCTCAGAGTAACTCGCCTCACATGCTCATCTGACACCCGGCTGTATTTCCTGGGGCTGTCAGGCCTTTCACTGGCCCAGTAAGTGCCTGTGCCTGTGGTTGCTGGTTTGACTCTTTGATACTGGCTTGGTGAAATCCCTCATTCGGCAGAGTGATGTCACCACTGGGCCCCTGAGCGAGGCCCATAACCACCTGCCCTTGTTCATCGCTTTGGATACTGTAAATAATGAACTGCTTCTTTGGCTGTGTGTGTATCTGGATTATCTTTATACAGAAAATAAGCATTTTCTTTCTTTTTTCTTTCTTTGCATGTGTGTATTACTTGGATTGTTACCGACATCTGGTGTAAATTTCATGTCAGTAGCCCCAATAGAAATATATTTACTGAGAAAAATGTTGATACGGTCAATACTTATTTTCCTCACTGTATTACTTTGTGGGAACCGCAAACCCCCCACAATGTAATAAAAACCTATTACTTTGACATTGTGGGGGCCATATTTCAGGCCACCAGAAAGATGAATGCAATCAAAAAACGAAAAATGCCAAAAGTATCGTATTTTGTTTGTTTGGGATTAGAGTTTTCTCCATAGAAATGAATGGAGAGTCCCCACAAACATATAATTACAAACCTGTGTGTGTGTGTGTGTGTCCAGGACATGAGCGTGCAGTTCGTGATCTCGGGCCTGCTGCACGTCTACCAGCGCGTCATCGACCGCGACGAGGACACGTGCCTGTTTGTGGCGCACCCTGGCGAGATGGTGGGCCAGCTGGCGGTGCTGACGGGGGAGCCGCTTATCTTCAGCGTGAGGGCGCAACGGGACTGCAGCTTCCTGTCCATCACCAAGGCCAACTTCTACCAGTGCGTAGCCAGTGGGCCAGAGCCGCTGAAACTGGAGCTGCAGGGATTCTATTCAGGGTGGAGATGCTGTGTGTGAGTGTGTGTGTGTGTGTGTGTGTGTGTGTGTGTGTGTGTGTGTGTGTGTTCATAGTGCAGGTCTCAAAGTGCATGTTTGCGTTTTATCATCTGCTCCAGCATGTGTTCTGGGCTGTTTTCAGTTTCACCACACCATGTGTCTGCGTGTCTGCGTCTGCGTGTCTGCGTCTGCGTGTCCACTTCCAGCATCATGAGAGCCGAGCCTGGCGTGGTCCTGACCATGGCCCACTCCGTGGTGCAGAGGGTCTCCCCGTTCGTCCGGCAGATCGACTTTGCGCTGGATTGGATGGCGGTAGAGGCTGGACGCGCCCTCTACAGGTAAGCACCGGAAATGTTTGCTGGTGTCCCCGCGGTCGCCTGACTTCTTTAATTTTCGCACCCCCCCCCCCTTCTTCAGGCAGGATGATAAGTCCAATTGCACCTTCATTGTCCTGAGCGGCCGCCTGCGCTCTGTCATCATGAAGGAGAGCGGCAAGAAGGAGCTGATTGGGGAGTACGGGCGAGGAGACCTCATCGGCGTGGTGAGAGCCGGCACCCAAGGCATGGCTGCAAACACAGACAGGTGGCGTCCCAGGCAGGCTGCCCCCCCCTCCCCCCAACCACTCCTCGATTTTACTTTGCCACGATGGTGGGGGGTTTGCCCCAGTGGTTTGCTAATTCGTTGCCCCATGGGCAATTTCCTTTTATGCCCTTTCCAGCACATGCCCACGCGTACACTTCCAGGCCACCCCTGAGAGCGATGCCACACAGCACAGTGTGTGAGAAGCCGGTGTTGGTCGCTGTGTCAGGTGACGGGGTACTGGCAACTACCACTATTCCGCGTTTTCCTATTTCCACATGCTACCGTTATTGTCTATACACCCACTGAGTATAACTCTGTTGAGAGATTGTTCTGAAACATTTCCATTACTTTTAACAAAAACTGCTAAGGCTGGAAAGCACACAGCTTTGAGGCCAGATCAATGGCCCCCCTTTTGTGTATGTGCTACAGTCCATAGAGCATTTGCAGTTTTGGGCTTCCTCTGCTGCCCCCTGGAGGATGGGCTCCCCCTTTGGGTCTGGTTAGGGTTAGGGCTTCCTCTGCTGCCCCCTGGAGGATGGGCTCCCCCTTTGAGTCGGATTCCTCCCAAGGTT